GCATAAATAGGTATGACTGCAGGGAGGCGACCAGGGGCATGTTTTTGATTTTGATAATGTCAGAATTTTATGTTCAGAATCTAATTATTTTAAACGAAATCTTAATGAAATGATTTATATATCAAATAATGATACAGTAAACTTCAGGACTGACACTCAAAATCTTAGTGCCCAGTATATGCATATCTTAAACCATTACAAGACCAAGAAACAACAACAAAATTAGTTAAAAATTCTTCGTTTTTATATTATTCAATTTTTTTAAAGAACAATAAATTCCATAGATGGGTGAACGTCTCGAGTCAGCAGGCAAAATTATTGGTTTTAGTTGCCACTTGTGTTTCGTGACGTGTATACCCGTTGATTACCCAAAAACAAGTTTTCATGTTTAAATCGAAAAGTTTTTTTTATGTGCTTGGTGCTTTCACTCATTTCGACCAGAGTCCCTTTTCCAAAAAATAATTAAAAATAGGTATGTTGCCTCATATTTATTTATTTGTATGTTTGAGTAATACTTTGTTTCATTGGTGTTTGGTTTTTATTTTGCTTGTGTGTAGTGTATAATTCAATATTGAATTTTTTAATAATGTTTAGATATTTTTGTGTTTTTGATTACCTATTTATATTTTTTGTCACTATTTTTTTAGTCTTACATCTTGTTACTGTTTACACATTTATGTACCAAAAAAAACTGTTATTGGAGTATTGTCAATGCATATTTTTATGTTTTAATCAACTTTAAGTCAATAAGCAAGATTGAATTAATTAGTAATTGTCTAGTCTCTCCATAGAGAAAATAACTTTTTTTTTTTGTTATTTTCAGCCTTGAAAAAGACTTTAAATAAAGTCGAAACGTCGGCATTTTTTAAAATTTAAAAGGGACTTTGAATTTTTTTGGCCCTAAACCCACAACACTACCTATTCATAGAATCTATATTGTCGATATCATTCGAACCCAACACATAAACGAGGAAGAGAAGTTTCACATAGAAAAATTATGCCAAAAATATTAGGACATATTCCATCTCGAAAATCAACTTTTTGACCTTCACTAACCAAGTAAAACAGGATAAAAACTACTGACGAACTGCCGGTCTATACCAAATCGTATCGATATCCGTTTATACACAACCCCAAAGTAGAAAAACAGATCGGTGACATGCTGCAACAAAATATCATCAGACACAGCGATTCTTCATGGTCTTCACCAATCTAGATCGTACCCGAAAAACCGGAAACTTCGATTAAGAGGAAATGGCGTATCGTAGCGGATTACCGGAACGTTAACGCAAAAACCATCGACGACCGTTATCCGACACCTAACATAACGGACATACTCGACAAATTAGGCCGTTGCCAATACTTTTCTACCCTAGACCTCGCGAGTGGATACCATCAGATAGAGATGGATCCCGACGACATAAAAAAGACCGCATTTAATGTCGAGAATGGGCACTACGAATATGTAAGAATGCCTTTCGGTCGCAAAAACGCCCCGGCCACATTTCAAAGGACGGTGTCCTTAAGGGCCTACAAAACCGAATATGTTTTGTATATATGGACGACATTATTGTCTACTCGACCTCCTTACAAGAACACGTGATAAACTTTAAACCTAGGTAAAAACATTCGAAGACTGTAAAGTATTATTAACTAACGAGCCGCTGTTGCAATATCCCGACTTCTCCAAAGAATTAAACTTAAATGCAGATGCAAGCAACTTTGCCATAGGTTGTGTACTCTGACAAGGTCCGATTGGACAAGATAAACCAATCGCAATTACGCATCTAGAACATTAAATTCTGCCGAGCAAAATTATTCAGTAATTGAAAAAGAGCTCTTGAGTATTGTCTGGGGAACGCGCTATTTTTGACCATATTTATTTGGGAGAAAATTTAAAATCGTCACTGACCATCGCCCACTCCAATGGCTAATGAACTTAAAAGAACAAAGTTCGGGTTGATGCTTAGTTCGATGGCGTCTGAAACTCGGGGAATTCAGATAATTTATAAAAAAGGGAAAACCATACAAATGCTGACGCGCTATCAAGAGTCGAGATAAACACGAATGAAGTAAATGATACTTCGCCAACACCACCTGAAAATAACGACCACAGCCTTGACTCAAATTAACCGCCTGTTCTGCGATATATGCAAGAATACAACAATAATCCCGTTCTAGACAACCCGCTTCCGAGCACAAGTCGCGGACCCAATCATCAAATTACAACAGCTTTTGAAAATCATGAAAACAATCCCGATGTTGCGACCGACAATCAGTCAATTACTGGCCAAACTGACCCTGACGAATTTAATGATAATGACACCGTACATACCGATTCTGAAAACCCCATTTTATCTATTCACATTAGTGAAAAACCAATAAATTATTTTCTATGTCAAATAGTCTTTATAAAAATCGAAAATAACCTTGGAATTGAAATAAAGAAAATCTTCCAAAATCCTGTAAATAGAACCCGATGGTATATTTACGTAACAAACGATTCTTTCCAAGCACAAATTATCCAATACATAAAAGAATACGTAGAACCAAAGAGGCAATGCGTCTTTCTTTTTCAAAATGACGAAGACGAAATGCTGTTTTGACAAATGTGTAAATTTATACCGCAAACATTTAAATACGCATCTTATAAGTTTTTAAAGTCTAATAAAATGCTTTGTGATGTAACTAAGGAAGATAGGCAGAAAAATCTCATTAAAAGCCAACATGAAGGTATCATCAATCATAGAGGTATTCACGAAACGATTAACCAACTACGTCTAAAATATTATTGGCCCAAAATGAATGATGATGTCAGAAAATTCATAAATAGTTGCTCAATCTGTCAACAAGTAAAATATGAACGTCACCCACCATTAATAAAATTGGGTGGTAATTGCAAAAAATTGCAATTACCACCCACGCCTAAAAAACCATTTGAAACCATTCATGTGGATACTTTCAAATTTGAAAAAACTGTTGCATTAACAATTTGTGATAGTTTCTCGAAATTTGGACAAGCCTCCTACCAAGCTTATCTGCCGTATACGTGTATCAATCTCTCTTACAGTTTGTCTCAGAAAATATCGTATCTGATAATAGTACCGAATTCAACCAAAATCTCCTTAAAGAATTCACCAAACTTTATAAACTCAATTGGCACTACACCTTGCCCTTGAACCCGAATAGCAACTCTATTGTTGAAAAATTTCACTCTACATTATTAGAGCACATGCGGACACTAGTTTTGTCCAAACCAAACCTAAGTCCATTTAAAAAGTTAAACTTTGCTATTATAGGCGGGTATAACAATTCAATCCATTCAGCCACAAAATAGAAACCAATCGATTTAATTTTTGGTCACCTCCAAATTAATGGAACCAATCGATATTGATAAGGATGACGATACCCAATTAATTAATCACGAATTAAATAAACATAAAGAGATAATCTCAGACATTTATAAAAACATTCATAATAAAATGAGCGAGCATAAAGAAAAAGTAATTTCTAAAGCAAACGAAAAACGATAAGACCCTCTCGAAATTCAACCTGGAACAACAGGTTATAAAAAATTAACCGACCTCCAGGACAAAACAAATCCTTTATATAAACCAGAACACGTCTTGCGAAGTAATAGCTTAACTGTCACTACCACGCAAAATACTTATCACAAACAAGTATTCAGAAATCCACGAAATAATGCACCAAATTATGTTAAATTTGGACTCTGTGCTACATTTTCTAAACGATATAGAAAATGCCATAAGCTTTGCTAGTTTAAAAACCTTACATCATAGCATTATTCTACAAAAAGAATTAAAAGAAATCGTCAAAGAATTTCATAGTTGTCACCACCACACACAATTGTTATTTTCACAAAACGAATACATGAATTATTACGAAGTCATAGAAACTAATGTTTTTGCGATAGAAAATAAAATCGTGTTTTCACTGGATTTCCCTCTCGTGCATTCAAATACGTTCGATTATTACCACCTCTTCTCCGTACCTGATAAAAATAAATCCATCATAATCCCACCTTCGACCTACCTCACCCTAAGTACGGACCTCTACCAAAACCAAAGTGAAGAATGCATTGACCTCAAACCAAACTATTTCTGCAAACACAATCGACTTTAAACTATACACGAAAATCCTGATTGTATCACGTCACTGCTGACACTAAGCAACAATTTGGACCAATGTCAACAAGTACCAGCACATATCCAAAAAGCCATGATGGAAGAAATCGATTCCGCCCACTATATTGGAATCTTTCCGGAAGAACAAAGAATTCAAACAGACTGCGTAGAAAGCGAAGTAACTTCAATAACAGGAACCCGCCTTTTCACAGTCCCGCCAAAATGTTCAATAAAAATGCCGAAATATGTGTACAAAAATGAAAAAGACATATTTCACGGTCATCCCGTCACCCTCAACGAAATAAAATCCCAGTGTCAAAGACCGAGAAGATCAAAGTAAAGAAAATCCCTTTGGATAAGCTACACGAACTTCAACTTCGGAGTTCGGCAGAAGATTTTCTGGAATTTACCAAAGTACATACATGAATTGGTTTCCATGGATCCTAATAACCGGAATATTGATTTGCGGCATATATTTCGCAATCAAGAACAACTAAATGAAAATTTCAAGAATCCTGAGAAAACCTCCCGTTACTGAGACAATAGACGAAACACGAGTGATTCCACCGTTGAGTTCCTTCTAGGGATGGAGGGGTTATGTGTGTCATTCATGGGAACATGCTGACCATTGCATCGCCGACATAAGCAGTTTCCTCAGAATTATTTTTTTTAAACGGTTTTTTTATTACCGGAAACATAAAGGTCCTCTAACCTCTAACAGAGTAACTGCACTCTTAAACCTCTAAGCATTTTATATCAAGCTTAAATTCTGCCAAAATTCTGCCTCTATCATTGAACTGCTTAAGATAAGTGAAAAGTTCCACATTGAGCTGGGATTAGAAATAAAACTCTACATTTAGTGCATAAATTCAAAATAATATATATATATTATAAATATTTATTATATATATGTATATATATTTATAATCAATTTATTGATTTACAATGTCTCGGTCAGTACCGGATTTAAATTTATTTACAAATTTCACAAAGTTACAACACAAAAAATACAATATTTTTTCAACTTAAAAACTATAAAAAACAATAACAAGGCAAGATACAAACAGCCTGGATAATATAGCGCGATAAAGTTCACTATCTTCAATAAAAAAGAATTAAAAATTCGCAATATTCAGCACAAAATTTTAATAAAATGTCTGTCCTACAATGAAATAATTAGGATACTTATTTACAAAGCCTATATATCATTGCATGTATCACAAATTCAATTGCTTCATATTGGAATTAAACTTTAAGAATCACAATAATTTAATCAAGCGAGATAAAAAATAATTATTAACAATACATAAATGCAAAAGATTTAAATAAAAAAATAATAATAATTGGTAATTATTACGCGAGAAATTAGATTTCCTTATATTTATTAAATTCTAACTAATAGTTTATATACAAAATTCGAATAATCAATAGAAAAAAGATTGGAGGGTCCCAAAAAAATCTGCTTCAAGACAATAAATATTCCAAAAAAGGTACAAAAATTTGATAAAAAAGCGGAACTCAGACCCACACAATACACAATCAATGCATATAATACCTATTATAAGAACATATGGGTACATACTTTTAAAATTATTGATCAATTATTACAAATAAAACTGTTCATAAAAAATAATGCAATACATCTTCCTCAATTCGGAATTCAATTCCCTCGTATTGCACCTTTTCTGTCACTCTAAAAATGTTGACAGAATTAAAAGCAATTAATAGAATATCAGGTACGTACATTTTCAAATTAGTTTTCAATATTAAAAGTTCAAATTAAATAAAATAGTCCAAAATCAAAGTGAATTTGTTTCAATTAAAATTAAAGAAGTATGATACACACTTCCGAAAAAAATAGCTCTAATAAAAATTGCACTCAAAATACGTAGTTCCATATCCAGGATTTTATTTGGCGGAAAAAGTCCTCTCTCGTCACACATCTTAATATCTAATATCACATTCTTTAGAATACCATATTTTGCGAACTGAAACATTACTTTATTATGTTTGTCCCAACAAAAACTCAGAGAACGCTTTAAAAAACGGAAATCGGATTTCCATTGGTCTCATTTGACTAATATTTGATTATTGTTGGAGCATACCGTTATTGCACATTCTTTTTAGTCAGATCACTAAACATAAATTCAAACGTGAGATTCCAACACTTTATAAACGGTACTTTCCGGAAAACTTTGGGGCCTCGAACCAATTAGATGCTGTCTTAATGCTACTACCATATTTTCAGGACCAATCAGATTGATTTCAAATAAAAATCGCTCTCTTCTAGTTGAACTTAGATCTGGAGAACTTGTCCTTATACCTTTTTCGTTATTTTGATTCTTTTCATTTTCATTTTTATTATCTATTAAATAAGTAACTTTATCAGGGTCCTTGGTTCCCCCAACAGTATGTCGTCTTTTGATAGATCTATCAGGCATACCGTTTTTTCTTTTATTTTTTGTCGATTCTTTTAGTCTTCGACCTGAATTCAAAAGTTCACGTCTTTTATTGATGTTACTTTCTGTTTTTTCCGTTTTAGTTAGACTGTCTGATCTTTTAACTCTGTCTCCAGTCTTATTAAGACTTTCGCTTCTTTTAACTTTAGTGTTCAAAGGTGATATGGTTCTCTCAGGTTTGTTTAGTGATTCTGAACGTTTTAGTTTCGAGCCAGCATTAATCTTGTTTGCTATAAGTGTGAGAGAGATGTGACGTTCATTATCAGGCAAATTTTCAAAAGCAAGAGTATCCTCCTCTTTTTCTTTTTCATTTTTGGACTCCTTGAGGCCTATATTTTTTGTTAATGTATATTGACCTTTGTGTAGGCTCGGATTTTTATATAAATCACTAGGCCGAGGCCTATTATTTTCCTTATTGGGTGATTCACTTTCCAGTTGTTTTTGAGGTGCATCATCTTTTGTTACTGAAATGTTGGCCACCGATGATGTAGTGGATTTTTCTTTAAGTTTTTGATCAATAAGTTTCGTCATGGTGCTTAGTAGAGATTCTAGAAAAAGAAAAAGGTGGTATTAAAGCGAAGTTATGAAACAAATACATAAGCCCTTCCTATCTACCCAGGAATGTTTGCTGCACACCCCCAACCCACATAGAAATGAAATATTCCAGAATACTTTGAATTGAAAGTAAGTTTAAGGTCCAATATTGTGCTTCAATTGGGTTTTTATTATGCTGATGATAATTCATTTCTTAAGCACGATCTAAATCTAAGCCTTTGTAACTTGGATTGGATACATTTTTGGCAACTTTAAATTGATATGATTGATTATAAAGTCCTGATAATTAAAGTTATCTAAGGGAAAGATGAACCCCTTTCTTACTATGGATTGTTACACAGTTACTTTCCTATACCCAATATGGACACTTAGAAAAATATTTCTTATTAATTTGGGATAACAATTATTTTAATGGTCGATACGTTTACTTCTTGGACAATACTTATAAGTTAACTTTAAATTATTCCAAATTTTGAAGATGAAAGTTAGGTAACCCAGAGATAAATCCCTTTCTACCCTGGATTGTTAGTATGAGCCTCTCCCAAATTGAATAAGCACATGATAAACATCGATTAGTTAAGGTTAAATTTTTTTTTAAGGGTTGCAACTTTTGTTCAAGGTTAAAAACTGACTAGATAATTCGATTGAAAATGGTCATTGCGTGGTTCAACTTATATTCATTATGCTAAACAAATTCCTTTGGCATAATTTAAATTCCATTATAATTAAATGATACATCTTCGGCTTATTTTAAGAATTTAAATTCTTATTAGTTGGGTCTTTCCAATCATTTTAAAGATCAGTCCCTTATTTATGGCTTAAACCCAGATAAATAGACGTGAATAAATAATAATACCGAGAACAAAAGTGCAGATCTTAAGTTAAATAAAACATTTAGTACAGGTGTGGCTTTACCTAGGTTATGGTCTAACATATAAAGCAGGAGAAAAGTGAAACATTTAAAAAACATGAATAATGAGGTTTGCTTTATTAAAAATCACAAACCTATAAAGCTAGGCAAAAATCTAGTTATCACCTATGAAAATCTTTATAATGGATTTATGATATTCACCAAAACAAACCTACATAAGGAAAATAAACGCTGTGCAATGCTAAAAAGAAAATATGTTAGCTTGGGCACTAAGCATAAGGGCTGTTCCAAACAAAAACCATAGTGCATTTTCAATTAGTTCACTAAACTAGGTTTGGCCAATTAAAAGTCACTTTGGAACAGAAAAAATAAATTTTCAGTTTGGCGGAAGCTAAAGTGACAGAAATCACTTTAAAAAGTTAAAAGACAGTTCAGCACAGCATTCTACCTTAAAGATATTTTTTTATAGTCGATTGTATAAATGACGAGTTCGTGGGGGCCTTTGTGGGGCCACTGTTGGGGGCCTCACTGACCTCCAACCTGGAATTGAGGCCAGGGAAGCGCAAGTGCCTATAAATGGTGTAACAGAAGAAAAACTTTAGCTATTTGAGGTGAAAAAGCACTACTTTTGATTTTTTTACGAAAAAATCAAATATATATTGAAAATACTTACCATCCTCAGTAGGTATTTTATGTAGAGAATCTAAGGAGCCTCTTCTTTGACTGTCATTCTAGAATATTAGCAAAATTATATTTTAGTGGGTAGGTACATTTGAATTGATGTTTTAATTTTTATTTGCTAGTAAACAAAGATTTTAATCAAGAATAGGCAATTTTTGAACAAAAACAGATTTGCAGAAGGTCGTTTTTTTTTACTTTCGAGCAGAAACCGAAGGGGAAATTATTGCCTCGGCGTCTGCCCCGCGAAATATGTAGGTATTCATTAGTTTCGATATTATTACATGTGAACAAAAATGTATACACTGAGTGTTATGTTTACAGTCAAATGAAAGCTAGTCAAACTTTTGCTCTTAAAAAAAAAGTTTGAAATGTTCTTAATCAAAATTAGTGACAAATGAAAATAAAGGAACAATGCTGTAGTTCACCTCACCTCACTCTCATACTTAATCTTCTTCAATCCAGCTCCATTATTTGAATTCAAATCCAATGTGCTTAAATTCACATTTTCCACTGAGCTGCCGCGCCTCATACCATATCGCACTCCCTTACTATCTGTTACGTCACCACCACTTGCCATTGTTGTACCAACATTAGCACCATTGGTTGACTGTTTACTAGTAGCACCATAAGAGTATCTACTACTGACTCCGCTATTAGTGTATTGCACCATTGAGTCCATGGAGTTGAGGCTGTTACGGTTGGCAGGAGGAGAGGGCCTAGTGAAGACATTATTTGCCGAGTGCGTTTTCGTGAGGAGGAAGTCTTGGTTAGGTTTGAGGCTCATACGAGATGCTGCGTTGACGTTAGTGGCTGAGGAGCTGAGCTGACCACGATGATCTAGAAGAAAGCGTGTGTAGATTAAAATAGTGATCCACAATAACGAGTTTTTGTATTTTGCGAATTTAATGATCAAATGCAAATTATATCATAAACGTATATATTTTATGGAGTTAGGAAATATAAAAAGACCTTGAAATAATATTATATTTGGCAAAGCTGTGAATATTTCTTTGAGTACATGATGAAATGAAATTATAAATGGACGATTTTTGCTAGCCAGCACTGTAATTCAATTGCATGTTACAATCAAGAAGCTTGCATCAGAATTGGTTTGCTAAGCTATTTCTCACCAACTTATCTATATCGCATTTCAGAAAACATTTTAGAGCTTTGAATAAATTTTAAAAACTGCAGTAATCTCTCCACAGGCCTTTTAGTATCGGATCTAAAGTTTAACGTAGTGCTACCCGACAGCTCTTCTAAACCACGGTCATCGGTTACATAGGAACTTAAGGCTTATATCCTTGAGGGGTACTATTATAATACCTGTTGTTTTTATGGTGCAAACAACTTACTGGGAATTATTTAACTAAGTCGTCATTTCCCACAGGAAATTCCGGACAAAACTGGCATGAATGGGGAGCTGACGAAGATAAGTTGATAGGCCAAATCACCCCCAATATTATGTAATTCTATTTAATTACCTACCGATATTGCTAACAGATATTTCAGTCATCCTAGGCCTCTGTAACATAGCTTCGGTTTCCTGCTTGAAATTTTCCACACGCCTAGAAAAATCTGATTGGTCAGTTTTGTAGTTAAACCAAGGATTCTTCTCTGTCGGAGGTATATTTTTATCTCGCTTTTCTATGTCGGTGACAGTGGTGGGGATTGTGCTTATCGTAGAATTATCAGGTGTACGTTCAGGGATCTGGAAATGTTTGATTATATTATTTTGAACAAAGAAAAATTAAAGCGTTTGCAGGAATGCAACACATCATCCCAAGTATCATACATAACATGCAACACCAGCAAATAACAAAAGAGCACAAGTTAGGCTTAAACAACAGTTTTCAATTCATCTGAGGTGCTTTGTGTTGATTTTACTGGCATTTGTAACAAAAATAATGAACAGTTTTCAATTCATATGAGGTGCTTTGTGTTGATTTTACTGGCATTTAAAACAAAAATAATGCACATTTTTATATTCTTAAAAGAGGAGCTCGAAGAAAATTTTTGATTTAAAATTATTTCTATTCCAAATTACTGATGCAGATGAAAGTGATGGAAGTACTCATTGGTTGAAGATGTTGGTCTTTAGGGGTCGGAGTAGACTAGATTTGGTTAACCAGTTACTTCACACCACTCACACCAATATTAAAAATAAAGATTAAAACTTACTTTTCCAAACTCGGTATTAACGCTTGTGAATTGACCAAAACTTTTAGGACTGGTCGGCGTGGTTGGTTCCTCTCTACCCGATTCCTGGTTGTGTTGCCTGGAAGGTTTACGCAAAACTTTTCTCTGGGCAGCAGTAAACAGTGATGAAAGCAGGGCTCCGTTCTTTTCCTTCTGATCCTTGGTAAAAGCTGCATAAGTAAACAATTCTTTCTGAACATAAGTTAGGCGATTTAAATAAAATTGTACCTTCATATTTGCTAATATTATTCAATAATGCCTGATTATTTGCTTCAAACTCGTCACAATTGTCTGGAATTGCTAAGGGTACTACGGGAGCCACGTTCTCACTGTCGTTTTCCGGGAAGTACCAATCAGCCTGAAATGAGTTTCAAAAAATTATAATCAATTTATACATATTAATTTGTTAGGCCCCACAAAAATCTAACATTATTCCTTTGAAATTTTTAACATACAGGCTTTGAAAAGGCGGCATATTATCTTACAACACTGCTGCTCAGGATGGCCGTAATAAATCAAATGAGTTTTTTCTATCAAATTAAATGAGTAATTATGTACCGGACAGTGTTGAAAATACATTCGGTTCTCACAGTCACATCTGAAAATGCAGAACACTGCAAACATGTACCTACCTAACAAGTCTTTTTGTTTTTCTAAAATATCACATACAATACACCTAACTCCAAAGAATTTACTAGTTATCCGTCTGTATATCCCTCGAAATCCCTCTTTGACCTATTGATGTACAAAATAAAAGTTATTTTAAATATGTGAGGTTATAAAGAGCTGAGGAAAATTTCTCACTCGAAGTCGACGAAGTCCAATTCCTCAACTAGACCATAGGAAACAAAAAGAAATTAAAATACCTAGTGTAATAGCTCATTTCGAACAATTCGGATAAGTATAGGTACATATATGAACAGTAAACAGGCGTTTTGGAACTACTTCTTCGAGCAAGTGTAGTTCAAGGGAACCGTCCATCAAATGTAGCGTAAAATTTTTAGAAATAAAAAGAATAGAGGTACATACTGAATAATTATCAAGGGATCAAATCAAATTGAGAGAGGCCAGGCCAATGCACTTAACAGGCTTTTGTATCAGAGATCTACCCAGAAATCTATAGCAACCCAATTATAAAATCTCATATAGGTAGTCACGTGTTAACAACAATACAGAGTTTAAAAAGAAACTATTAAGCACTTATGCCTATTTTAAAGAAAATGTGGGTACGTACCTACCTAAATTAGAAAACAAAGTCAGTCATTACATAGACAATCTTTTCTTTTTTTGATTGTTCTCTATACCTATATTCTTATGAAAAAGCGCCAAATTACTTTCAACAATAAATAGAGCATATTTTAAACTTACTATTTTGATACTTACAAAAATGTAAAATAGTGAAAGGTCTTGAAGTACTACCTAGACTACCTACTACCTCACTAATTCGAGTAAACCATGTGTTCGGAGGATCAATTATTTGAATTTGAGCCATTTTGCCTGGAGTTTTATATCCAACTGAACCAGCTATGAAAAGGTGAAAACGATCTAAAAACGCATCAATTGAGTATCCAACAAAAACACAATTCAATTTCACTAGACATTCAATAATTGTAACTGCTACAATTTGAGTCAGTTAACCATAGATGAGGTATGTCTATTGAACAAGATAGACTGTCGTAGGAACATATTTCAGCGACTGACCGTTTATTTGCATCAAACGAAGAGCGTCAATTACCACCATAGACCTTACTTGGATAGCACGAAAGAAAGCTCATTAGAGACGAGAAAGGAGCCTACTGAAGCAAGAAACAAAACGAAATCGAAGTTTTCGCATTAATTGCAAAGACCGCAAAGAAGCACTTCCCTCAGCAGCTCTGAAGGTATAAAAAGAAAACGCCCAGATACTCAGGACACACCAACCCCAGATGTGGAGAGGGTATATAAGAGAAAAGAAAGTCCAGAATACTATGTACACAAAGAAACAATAGAGATGCTCACAAAGCTAAGCGCAGAACTAGATAAAAACCTAGAGCAAAACACCAAAAGAAAGGTTAAGGATATCGCCCAAAAAATTAAAACGCTAAATGGGAGTCAAATCACACAATGGTTAGAAAAACAGAGGTATCAGCAGACCAAGAAAATGACCTCCGAAACAGACGTCCAAACAAGTCCAAAGAGAGGACTCAAAACAGCAGGAGATGTCTGCCACATCTGCTCAACTGAGAAACTGGAAAAGACAACCACTCCGGTCACACAAACCACGCACAGCCAGGAAAAACCGGAGGCAGAAGGAAATATCCAAACAGGCACAAAAAGGGCTACCCAGGACATGGGAACGCAAACAGAAATCTTTAAAGACTCAACCAAGCAGACGGTATATACACTTAGCGGAATACAAACATACGAAAAATACAGAACCCTGGAGAATCTCAAGTGGGCAGAAGAGGCTTTTAAAAAAACAGAGATCAAGGTGGGAAACCCGATAGAAACAAAAACAAATACAGTAAAGGTAGTGTTGGTAGGGCCATCAGACCAAAACATGGAGGAAAGTATACAGGCCCTCTACAAAAAAAGAAACCCAAAGATCCTGGACATTTCCGAGGACTTCGGCATGCTAGAACAGACGACGAGGATAAGAGGAAGCTCGGAGCCCACAAGAGGACATAAAAAAGTGAAAATGAGGCAAGGCGACAGTGACTTTGGACTATAGGAATCGCTGGAAAGGCTCCGCGAAGAAACCAGGCAAGAGGAGTGGGTGGCCCTACACCACATAAACGCATAAGCCTAGACAAATTTCGGAAAATGATGGAAATGGTTTTTCAAGGAGTCGACACTAATGCTGTCATATATACCACACTAAGCTGCATAAAGGAGACAAAGTCAAGGGAAAAAATTGACATATGAAGCACTGATAGTAGACCAAAAGGATAGAGACTACAAATCTTGGAAGATGTTAAACAGAATGTAAGAAACTCAGAGGAAAGCCAAAAAATAAAATCGATAAGGCAAGAAAAGCAGGGAAAGCTGATAATAACGACGGAAAAAAACGCGGAAGCTATAAAGAAACTGGAACAGAAAATTAGGGGTTCGAACCAAGAAACAAACATCAGAAGGAGCGGACTAGATGAAGAGCCCAACCCGAAGGAAGGAGTACACATGAGAGGGGTAGACATATCTATAACCACAGAGGAGGTGATGATGGCCGTTGAAGACATGCTGGGAAAGATGGAAGGAAAGGAATACAGCCAAGGAAAATTCAGAACAAATTCAGGGAATACTCAAGCCATCACCATAATGTTAACAAAGGAAAGAGCGGACCGCCTAATACAGGAGAAATACATGCGGATAGGGATAGTTAGGTGCAGACTGGAGAAAAGACTACATTTGGTGAGGTGCAACCAATGCTGGGAGTACGAACACCTCGTAAGGGATTGCTCCGGCCCCAACAGAAGAGAGAGTTGTTTCAAATGTGGAGACACTGGACACAAGGCAAAAATATGCCAAAAAGAAGATAAATGTTTACTATGTGATCAAGAAGGATCAGGAAACTGCAAAGCATTCCGCAGGGCTCTCTCCATAAACAGAAGGTCGGCACGCCTCAATGGCTACTAACAAAAATAACGGGACAGGGGTAGAGCAAAAATCAAATGAGAAGAAGCCATTGACATCAGCGCTGACAAAGAAGGCAGATTTCCTTGTCTCTGGGTCTCTTCCATTTAAACTGAGACAAACGATAACGCGTGTGGCTTCTTCTCGTTTGATTTTTATTCTACTGAAGTTCCTGCAATTAAATATGAACAGATGCGGAGCAGCCCGCGATCTGCTAACACAAACAGCGAGGGAAGAGAAAATTGACATCATCTTAAGCCAAGAACCAAATCGTAAGGAAATGGAAAAATACCTCTATGATAAGAACGGTGACAGCTTTATACGGATACAAACACCACTGACCATTGTTAACCATACAAGTAAGAAGGGCTTCGTTAGCATCTAACTGGACAAGTTCCTGATCATCTCTTGCTATTTTTCCCCAAACCAAGACATAGACACCTTTGAGCAACTCTTGGAAGACCTCGGAAGAAATATCGAAGATTTAAACGGCGCGGCAACTACAAAAGCGAGAGGCAACAGTCTCGAAGACTGGATGGCACAAAGAGAGCTTGTGGCAATAAACACCCGGGACACACCCACCTTCTCAAACTCTAACGGGGAATCGCTCATAGATATTACCATTGCCACACAGAGCGTCTGCAACCAATTACAAGAATGGAGAGTTGACGTAGACAATGAAAACTTTAGCGACCACAGGACTATACTCTTCGACCTACAGAGAAACAAAACTTGACAGGAAACAAACAGAGGAGGAAGGGTGGCTGGAAGCTAACGACCAAAGCCTAAAAAGAGATAACAACATGTTTAGGGACGTGGACCTGGAAGTTGGAGACGGACCGAAGAAGATGATGAAATGCATAGCACAACTTTGCAACAAAGTGTTGTCAAAAAGATGCAACCCCTGCCCCCAACACAAACCCGTGTATTGGTGAACGTCTGACATAGCAGACAAAAGTAAACAATGCATTCAAGCCAGAAGGAACTCACAGAGAATCCGGAAAAGACAGGCTACGGAACAGGCTAAACTGAGAGACACAGGACGAATACAAAAGACTGGAAAAAGCACTAAACGATGCAATCAGGCAACAGAAAGATTTAAAATGGAGAAAGTTATGCAATGAACTGGATTACGACATCTGGAGACTTGCACACCGAATCGTAACAGACAAATTCAAAATAAGAACTCACATGAACCTTAGTGAAGAGACAGTAACAGAACAAGTAGAACTGTTACTTCCCAAGTGTGAAATAGTAGAGTGGTAGGAAATCCAGACTAACGAGGAGGAGATCCCCTGAGTTGACGCGAATGAGCTGCTCAGAGCGTGTATGCGACTTAAACCAGAGAAGGCCCCTGGTCCGGACAACATCCCAGCAGAGGTAATACAGATATGTGCACTCAACAACACAGAGAGCTTCCTGGAAATAATTAATACATGCATCAGGAAAGGCATCTTTCCAGAGGTATGGAAGACGGCAAGACTAGTACTAATACCGAAACCAAAAAAGGGTCTTGCGACACCAAGAACATTCCGACCACTGTGCCTGCTCGACGCTGCGGGAAAGCTACTTGAGACAGTAATAAAGGGAAGACAACAATTTGAGCTAAAAAAAAAGAGATATTACTTAAAAACCAGTATGGGTTCCTACCTAAACGATGCATCATTGATGCGGCTAGCCATTTAAAGGTCATTGTTGAAGAAATCAAAGAGAAAGCGGTAAAGAACCAAGAGTTTTCTGCCATGATTACACTCGATGTACAGAATGCCTTTAACTCTGCGCCATGGCCTAAAGGCCCTAAAGTCATCGAAGCTATAAGAGAAACTACTATTAGCCCTTATATTGTTAGAATGGCACAGTCGTACCCAAATACAGACACGTAATAACCGAAAAAAACAATAAGTCCGCAAGACGTGCGGGGTACCTCAAGGATCTGTACTTGGCCCGACCCTCTAGAATGTCTTCTATGACAGCGTCGTAAGACTTAATCTTGGGAAAGAGGTGGAGGTCATCGCATACGCTGATGAAATAGCTGTAGTGACAAAGGCAAAGAACGGTGCAAAATTGGAGGAAAGCACACAACATGCTGTAAACAGGGTAATAAGGAAACGGGACGAACTGGGCATAAGAATAGCCGCAACAAAAACAGAAATGGTTCTATTGCCGGACAGACGGAAATTACGAGGAATTGGCATAAGCATAGAAGGAGTTGTAGTACACAGCACAGCCTCACTAAAGTATCTGGGTATAAACTATTATATGACTCAGGCGATAACAGGGCACGGGACGTTTTGCTCATACTTGCACAAAATTAAAAAAACAAAGTCCCCCAGCTGGTCGTGCGAACAGGAGGACACAAATGTGCATACTCTCTTCCAGTGCCAGCAGTGGAGTGCCGAGAGAAGGGCAACCGAACAGACTATTGAAGAAGAGATAACCACAGAGATTATCACAGAACTATTGCTCCGCTCCGAAAACGACTGAAAGGCGATCGAGAAGATGATAAAGCAAATTATGATGGGAAAAGCTAGAACAGCAAAGGACAGTATTGCAGGGATTACCATATATATATATATATATATATTTTTTTCTTCTTTGATTAAACCTATGTTTCTGTAACTTGTAAATATTTTTGTAACATAGGTAGCTTTTTTTTGAAATTATTAAAGAAACCGTACTGACGAACAGACGAAGAGGGGTGCTGGGAAGCAATGCTAAGACGGTACCGCAGCCCCAACCGTACCCTGACCATTCATATAAGGGCCTCTTGATTCGGTTAGCTAACGCGCCGACTACGCCCTTGATGAAAGAACAGATGAAATAGAGTTTATGGTCTGTGCTATGGTATTCGTGGTGAGCACTTACTGTTGGATTTTTTTTTTTTAATCTCATATTATCAACAGATTAATGACTCTGTGAGTTTGTTGAGAAAATAGAAAGGTGTTTTCAGGAAGTAGGTAGATGTTTTACTTGGGGAGTGCCTCAAGTTTCAATTTTGGGATCCATTCGATCTTTGAAAATTAATTTCAAAAGAAAAAATAATTTATCATCTGTGTATCAATTTGCTGATGATACATCTTCTATTATTTCGGCTGCAGATAGGCTCTTTTGTTGAAAAGGTACCTGCCTTCGCTGAGAAAACAGCAAAAATGCTTGAATGGTACGTGTAACCCTAACAACTTGTTAAATACCAGCAAAACCTTTTTAGTAATTTTTCAAAATAAAAAACTAGATTCACCATGTTCTGGAACGAAACAGTATTGAGCAGACGCAGTGAGCAAATATATTTGGAGTTATATTGAGACAAGAAAATTTGATGGACAAAACGTGTGAATGATCTCTTCCTGAGAATTAATAAACCAATTTTTGCATGATCAGGGTAACCGGTGGGTCGGTGTTTTATGGCTAATGTATATTATGTATAAAGTCAACTTTTTATATTGTTATGGCTTGGTGAGGCTTTTCTGTGGAAAATGGAAGTAATGTATTCAGAGCTCAAGAGAAAAGAAAAAAATATTAGAGTGATTTATTTCAAACATGACATAGATCTACTGCCTTCATATTACACTGGTTCAGGGCATTGAATTGTATAATAGTTCACCTGCCCCTAAAGGCAATACCAGGTGGAAGTGCTTTCAAATTTCAAGCGAAGGAATCTTTGATAGAAATTGAATATAAGGTGGTACTCTTTATAAACGACCTACATGTTTATGACAATAAAGTATTATTATTACTTTCAATAAAACACAAAAACCCAAAAATCTACCTAACACGCACACAAAAACTTATTTCTTGCACTTCAGTCGGCCACTGTCATGAGATTGTCAATAAAACAGTTAAGGTGTTACAACAGGTTAGACTTGAAACATTATCATAAAATAAAAGAAAAAAAAACTTACATTGGTTATTAGACTCTCTACTATCTTGCACTGATTGTTCATGTTGGTCACCATACTTTCCATAGTCTCACTTTCCGGCCTCACTATCGTGGGACCAAAAACAATGGCTAAATTTTTGACTTCCATTTTATTTATGTGCGAATTTTCAGCCACACGTTTTAAGTGCAAAATCACCTGTTTCAAGGTGTGATAATTATGTCTTGGCAGGTTTCGAACCAGTCTTTTTAGTTCTTCCATTCTGGATTTTGGGTCTTCTATTTTATCAGCCTAAATAAATAATATTTTCTTAGGTGATTTCAGTTTTACAAATTTAAAAGAAATGTCTTACCTTGATAAAATGGGGGTACAATATCGACGTCACCAAACTATCGGGCATTTTTCTCAAAAACGATTTCAACAAACTACTAACAACATGTAAGTCATTCCATCTTTGATCCTCTAAAGGAACTTCTTCAAAGTTTTTATTAATTTCTTCAGAAAGTGCTGTTATAGAGGCATTATTTCCAGGAACCCTATAAATTCCAATTATTTGGAGGCCCTTCTCATCAATTATATCCGTGCAAACTTCTATAAATTTTGGTACAAATTGGTTTTGGCTTGATGGTATGCAGTGCTCAATTGGTATGCCAAAAGTTGAACTAAAAAGAAGTTCTATAGAGATAGGAGCTCACTGTGAATTATTATACTTTCGTTCCAATAAGAGTTCACAAAATTGAGTAGAGGTTATTTGTGTTTATTTATTTTAATAGAATTCATTTGGTCGAACAGTTTCTTCTTGAAACAGTTTTAATACTTACACTTCTGGTGCTATAGGAGAACTAGGAGAACTCGTTCCCGGATTAAATTTTTTTAATTGCTTAGCCATCCTTACTCTCCAAGTTTTCGATTTTGGACTGGTTGTTGCCACTGCACTGTCATGTTGAGTAGATGGTTTCCTAGTTTTGCTTACTGGTGACTGGCCGGTAGGTGACCTGTTGCGACTAGCAATGGATTTTGCACTTTTAGCAGAGGGCTGTGGGGACAGGTGGCTGCCTTGCACTTGGATAGTAGTTGAGGCTGGGTGGGATTGAGGTACTGCTCGTTGTCTAGGTGTAGTTGGATCCTGAAACATGATTATTTTCATTGTAAATGTTGAATAGAATAAAAAATTAAACATTTTAAAGCCTCTTAGACATACCAATGTTATCATTAAATGATCATCTATTATCACTTCCATGGTTCTGTCCGATTCTATTATGGAAAAATTTAAAGATTCATAACCGAACCAAATTTGGAAATAATACCTACTGTTTTTAGTGAGTTACCAACATAATTTCAACAAAAATGGTAATAATATACTTAAATAAATCTTTTTATCTATAGATTATGTGTGCACAAGTATGAACATTTTTGCACTAAACCCGAAAACAACTGACGGCGCGTTATTAGCGCGTAATTATAATCTCGCCAAAGTAAACTTCTGACTGAACGTAAATAAATTATTTTCAATGGTTAAAATGTCAGTGTTATCGATGATAAAAAACTATATTATTATTTTTATAAATAAATAAATAGACACTCCAATTTGAATACCACAGGATTTTGGCTTTAGTTTGCAGGATTTGACCTTTACTAATAATAATCTTTATCATACTTGAAAGATACGATATTATGTATTTCTATTTTTAATTATGTGAATTGATTGAACCGATACTTCGTGAAAATTGAAATCCATACATTTTCACTATGCTATAAGGGTAAAAATATGTTTCAGTACACTACACTATGGTAGCTTCATCAGTCTGCCGGCTTCATGAGAGGTTTCATCAACTGTTTTTTCATTAAATCAAAACGGAACAATTTAGGACATTAATGAATTATGGTTCTCATTTTGATTCATTAAATTGGTTCTTGTTTGTTTTCTTGTTGAAAAACAAACAAGAAATCTGACTATACGCCAAACTATTGTTATACATATAAGATGTCCCAAACACGTGCTACTACGATTATATTGAAAATAGTAAAAGAGCCAGTGAAATATAAGACTGAGCGCGAGTTTTGCAAACTACCCTCCCTCTGTCCCATTTTCCAAATTTCCCCTTTACCTCGATCTCCATGTATTTAGCCGTGGTTCCTATATAGCTTTCCAAGTGTGAAATAGGTGATCTAACAGGTAGTGTGAATGGTATTTGTCGTTATCTCATATTGGCCATGAAGTTGTTTTTATGGAAGTTAGTCATAGCCGATTTTACGATGTTTTTTGACCCAAATTAAGAGAAATAAATAAATATCCTTTTTTTAACGACGGTTCAAAGATAACTATACTTATAAATTGTGGAAAAATGTATAAATTAAGGGACCCAGATGGAAATGCAACAACAGAAGATAAGATATGAGAAATGCGAGAATGAACTCAAGAAATGTGTTCGAAAAAACTGATCTGTACAAAATCTTAGAACATATTATTCCCGAAGTCAAAATAACTCGATTTAAAGCCACTTACCTGATTACTCCGTTTCCGAGATAGAGGGTAGTGAATTTAAAAAATAAAAATCGATTTTTTAAAAATGTATGATTATTTTTTAACACATATTACTTTAAAAATTGGTACCCGAGGGTTATTGGGGACGCGAAACCTGAATATGGACACCTTTTCCCTGTGGCCGCTAGAGGGCGCTTCACAATGCTCTTCTCTACAGTGACTCTATACAAGACAGTGGCGACAATAGTGCCTAAGTTCCGCCCACCCTCCATGATTTGTCGAACTCAATTAATAATGTATTTGATCTTTATTTTCTTTATGTTCTAATTTTTTGTCACAAAATAGTCAATAACAGGCACAATTAACAAAAACAAAAATATATAAACACAAAATTCGATAAATCTCCATAGGATCAAATGGTAAATACAAATAATTTTCGACAAAACAAGGCGGGTATTCTGTAGCCAATCAAAAATGAGACCCTCTATTGTCGCCACTGTCTTGTATAGAAGCACTGTACTCTTCTCATGGTACTCAGTGTACCTATTTTTTTACTTTTTTTGTCAAGGAAATTATTTAGTGAACATTTTCAGGCAAAAAGGATATTGTTGAAATGCGTTAAAGTGAGCTATTTTCGAGATATTTCCGTTTTTGGTATTCGATGCCGCACCGAAATATTGAAATTATTTTGAATCCTAAAATTTGGTAACATTTTTTGTATTTTAAGAATTTTCGCCATCAATATTTTTTTACAGTAAGCGTCTCAGTGAGAATTTGACAATGCGAGAATAAATAAAGTGTTTGAAACGTGCTGGTAAATTTTTAAATTGTGTGATTAGTTTGTTGAAATGTCCAAAGGATACAGTTCTGCAGAAATGACGGATATGCTATAAGTTTTTGGGCATTGTGAAGTAGGAAATGGCCGCGGAAGGATTAGGTTATACAGGGAAAGATTTCCAAATCGGCGCAAACCAAACCATCAAACATTGAAACCGGTAGTTTGACTCCTGTAACTGCCAATCATGGACGGCAACGTGAGATAAAGACTCCTGCGGTGCGGTTGGGGAACACAGTTTGGAAAGAATCGCTGAAGATCCAAAATTAACCACCGGTCCCTTAGGTTTAGAGGTAGGATCGAGTATCGAAAGATGTAGTTCATAGAACATTAAAAGAACAGCTGCTTCCTCCATACCATATCCAAAAGCCACAAGACCTTTCGGCTCCGGATCTCGAAACTTACATAAAGAACATGTTTATGCTGATGAAAATCCGCATGCCACGAAAGTAACTCATTACCAACATGAGTTTGGGATTACCATGTTGAATCATTGGCAATTTTATTGTCGGTTCAAACATTTTACCACCACGAATCAATGGAACGGATTATTTCAGACATTTACGAGATACGCTGCCAGATTTATTAGACGATTTGCCATTACAACTTCGACGAGGTATGTGGTTTATGCATGATAGTGCACCACCACATTCCACTGACGCCATTGGATTATTTTTTGTGGGGGTCTACAAAAACGATGGTATATTCCAGACCAATTAATAATGAAGAGGAATTGTGGGGAAGAATTCAAAATGCAGTCAACAAATTAAAGAACGACGCGGAATTGTTGCAAGTGTTCGAGTAAATGGCTGATAAGGGTAGATGAAGGCTTTCGTGGTTTGTAAAAATTCTGTATGTGGGTACGAATGATGCTTATGAAAGTGTTGGATCACTCTATAAGGGGTTTACAGGATTAAAATCTGGTGAGTTGGATTTATCGAACCCAATCAAGTCATTAAAAAATAAACTATAGGCTTTTCGTGAGGCACAACATGGCGAATTTGGAATATGGATTTGAAACTTCATCCTTGTTGACACAAAAACTGAAGTTTATTTCTTCAAGTCGAACTGAGTTTGGTAGGGGAATCATTTTCCGCGACGAGGTCTATTTCTGGATGATTATGAAAATATCCTAATAAAATAAGAATATGGTCCGGATTTCGAGCTGGAGGAGTTATTGGCAATATTGTACTTACCGTATTTCTTCCAAAAATGGCGAAAGCCGGACGTCGATTGTTTTTACCGCACATTCTGAACAGTATCTATCTTAGACCATCGAAAGACTGATTAAAAATCGTTGTGCGAAATCAATTTATAACGTTATGTATTTTTTTTAAAATGAAATAATGGAAATGGTAAATTTCCGTTGCAACAACCAACAAGTGACTACGTACCATAGTTACTGCGCATCAAACAATCGTTATCTTAAGTCAAACGTTTCAAGGTTGCCTAATTTACAAAAAAAATTAAGCAATATTATTATTCATCATTGATGAGATCAGTGCTGTGATTCAGAGGATAGCGTTCCTGCCTTTGGTCACGTAGACTTGGGTTCAATCCCTGGGCCAGTCAACGTCGATGTTAATATTTGGAATTTGCTATTAGCACGTATCGCCATCTTTGGATCTCTACCATCGACAAAGGTAGGTTCAGCAAAACTTCCAGGGTCCTTATTCTTGAAACAAGGGACAGGAGAATGACTGTTCTGTCTTCCTGGGAACGCTGTTCTCCTGTTTCAAGAGAAAAGACCCAGATAGGGTGTGACAAGTTCCCTGGCGTCGGCGATGTTAGTTGCCATCAAGGTCCTGCAATGTGAGGTCCCTAGATTTTATTTTGTTAGGTTACCTCAAAGCCAAGTAATGCCAATAAACCACGAACAACTGAAGATTACACATCCCTAAAATTTAAAATCGACATCCGATTGTCGAGTCTAAACTAGCACTTGGTTAGTAATTTCTTTGGTGATCACTCGGTATTTCGGTCGTGTACTTCAAAATCTGGTGATTCGGGAAATAGATATTTAAATTTTCAGGCGGATAGCCCAAAAAAAATAAATTAGAATATTTCATGATGACTTTATTCACAACTGCGTCATGCTGTGACTAAATATTTCGAGAAATAGATAAAGAAGCAATTATTATGTATTGATCAATAAATATTAAATTATTGTCATTTAATAAAATTATATTCAACTTTTGGGTAACTTAGCTTTGGCTTATCTTTTAATGCCTCCCAATTAAAACGAGATTTCATAATAAAGGAAAAATTATATAGAATATGATATACAGGGTGGAATTTTTAAATGGAATAAATTCAGTATCAGAAAGCCTGTTTGATTTCTGGAAAAATAAAAAAAAAACGGGTCTCTTTATTTTTTAGTTTGGCACATTTTTTTGGCCTTTTCATGGAATTTACCCCTCTCTTAAGGGTAGAAACCACCCTCAACTTTTTTTTCTCAAATGTAAAGATATATATTGTGATAGCTCGTTGGAATGGGCATAAAAAAAGGAAAATGACCTATTATTTACTTTTGCATTTGGGTAATCTAGAAAACGAGAAAAAAATGGAAACATATTTTTCCAAACAATTTTTTTTACAGTTAAAATTGTTGAATATCTTAAGCATTTTTTCTTGGTAGAACCCTAATGCGAAACAGGCCCCATTTATAACGTTATGTAATTATTTCTGACGTTAACATATTATTTTATGCCTGATACTCGGATTCTCAACCCTAAAATAGTGTGTTTTTGTCAAAAATAATCAAATAACTAGATCACCGAAATGCAAAAGTAAATGATGGGTCATATTCGTTTTTTTATGCCCATTCCAACGAACACACAATACATATCTTTACATTTGAAAAAAAAAGTTGGAGGTGGTTTCTACCCTTAAGAAAGGGGTAAATTCCATGAAAAAGCTGAAAAAATGTGCCAAACTAAAAATAAAGGGACCCGTTTTTTTAAAATTTTTCCAGAAAATAAACAAGCTTTCTGATACTGAATTTATTCCATTTAAAAATTCCACCCTGTATAACGAATAAGACGGAAACATAATGCACGCAGGGTCCGGTTTCCTTTCATTGAAGAAAAAAATGGTTAATTTTGGTATTATTATACGAAGATTATGAAGGACTTCTACATCCTTTCAAAAGTTGTACCATAAAGAATTCATTGTTAACAGCCATAGTCCTTATTTAAACACATCAAATGATAATTTTTCTTCGTCAATTGCATTAATAAATAATTAAAATATGTGCAAATATTTTTAACATGCAAAACAAAGATGATACATGAATGGGCGATGAATTTCAAACGCCCCAACACTTCTGTTCTGCATTGCAAATAAGCAATATTTATTTTATTTCTATATCTTTTTAACTATCATCCGAATGACTATTGTAATAATGGTTTCTGCTGATAGTTTTAAGTATTTTGTTGTCTAAACGTATGGATTGATAAACTAATGTGCAATAAATTTCAACTTGCTATGAAAAATTTCGATAAGGAATAAAGATGCAGTCATCTATTTGAGATTTTATTGAGAGAGCCGATCACCAATAAAATTTCCGAAAACAAGAAATCGAATTACCGCCAATCCGCTCTAGCGAAATTTGTGAAATTTTTAATGTACCCGGTTATTCGCCATATTTTGAGTTCCCACCTGCAGCCTTTACCTTTACAGGTAGGTGATAGGCGTAAATACAAAAGTTGTGCAGTTTCAGCTAAATTTTTAAAATCCATCGTCAGAAACAAAAAATTATTGTCAGAAATTTGGAATTTTGCATACTTTCAACTTTTTTCAAATGGAATGCCCTATATTTGGTTCTATATTCTTGAAGAGGACAATTTTCCGATTCCAGAAATATATAGTTTGTCTATATTTGGTTCAGCCGTCTCCAACATATTTGGTTCTAAAAGTTTTAAAAATACCATTCTACTGACTTAGATTTTGTGAACCATTCTACCTGTAAAGGTGAAAGCTGCAGGTGAAATTTGAGGCACTTGGTTCCTGTGATAGTATTTTTATAACTTTTAGAGCCAAATATGTTGGAGAACGCTCAACCGAATATAGACAAACTATATATTTTTGAAATCGGAAAATTGTGCTCTTCAAAAATAGAGAAGCAAATATAGGGCATTCCGTTTGAAAAAAGTTGAAAGTACGCAAAATTTCAAATTTCTGACAATAATTTTTTGTTTTTGACAATGGATTCTAAAAATTTACCTAGAACTGCACAACTTTTGTATTTACACCGATAATCTACCTGTAATGGCTGCAGGTGGGCGGTCAAAATATAGTGAACAACCCTGTAAAGTGTGTCCCATTTTGGTTGTCCATAAGGGATAACTCGGTTGCTATTGGAGTTAAAGAGATGCGGTTTCCGCGAAAGTTGCTACTTTTTTGTCAAACGAAAGATGGCGCCAAAAGAATTGTCATCGTTTTTTCTATTTTTCAGATACAAGGTGTTTTTGAAAAAGTTGCATTTTGGGACACCCCTTGTATTTCGGTTCTCTCATAAGTGATCGAAAAGGTGACAACAGATTCTTATAGATACTTTCACGTAGCTTCCAGTGGCGTAATCAGCTTTTGTCTAGAAGTGATAGTTTTCAAATTTTAAACCAAACATCCCTTTTTTCGAATGAGACACCCTATACCGGGTGGGGCACGAAAAACTTTCCACCCAGTTTTTCTCAGGTGTTAGGTGTTTAATCAAAAATCGGTCAGACACGTCAATTTTTGTTTTTTGGGGGACACATTTTATTGGTTTTTTCACCCCCTACCTGTGAACCCCTAAGTGGGGGTAACAGGTACCCTCAAAATTTCAAATGGAAAGAGTGGTCGAGTGATATGTCATTTGGTAGCTATTTTCATTGAGAATATATCCCCGAAGTTTTAAGTTGCTACTATTAATCCTGCCGAAATGGCGGCATGTCAAAGTTAGGATAAATGCTTTTTTTCGATAATCTAAACTGTATACAACGGCGCCCGCAGAATTTGTCGCAGGGGGGGGCAATTAAACTGCTCTTGGGGGAATCGTGTAAAGCGCACCGCAGGCGGAATTTTTTTTTTTGGGCCACACCCAAATTTTGCTAATTGTAACTAATATAATAAACATTAAAAAATAAAACAATTTGGAAATACTTTTATTTCGGACGGGAAAAAAAGTTAATTCTCTGTATCTTTTGATAGGTGCACAAATTACTTTTTCTATTTTGGTGTCATATCGAAGTCTTTTCGACACTAAAAGTAGTTTCGAAAAGAAGCTCTTTGTGACATTCCTTTTTTACTTATCGGAGGTTGGTAACACTGGCTGACTGATGGCCATCGAACTGTCATTCGCGATAAAAAATAGTAGAAGATTTCTATATTTGGCATGTAGTGTTGCCAACCTAAACATATGAAATCAGGAAATATGAGAATGAAATTTCCAAGAAAAGTTTTTTTTTTTAATTTTACAACCAAAATAGAAAAAATAGTATAAAATATTCGTTTCATAAGACATTTTATCGCACTCGCCCTTTAGAAAACTCGCCTCCGGCTCGTGCGATAAAATGACGTCTTATGAAACTTGTATTTTAATGTACTATTTCTTTGTGGGAAAAAAAATTTAAAAAAATTGTAATCAAAACTAAAACAAACACCCGTTTTCTGACGCTGACGCTGACGGGTGTACGTCATACCTGAACCAATGACGACGTTTACGTTGTCAGTTGGATTTTTGGAATCATATACCCCAAATTTAACAAAAAAACAAATAGTTGTTATCAAAAAAAATAAAAATGGAAATATAGTATTTTTAATACCTATTTAGAAGTACCAATCGTTCTAGTAACAAAACGTATGTCACTTCTTGAACATACAAATAAAATTAGGTTAGGAATTTCCTATTTGTACATGAATTTGACGTATTAGTAATCGACATTCGTTTTTGTTGGTAATTTTTTGTTTCATCTGATTCGTGATTGATAAATAAGGATGGGGTTATTCTAAATGGGCATTAGAAATACTATAGGTAAAATACCTAATTATTTTTATTTATTTTTTTCTCTTTTATTTTTAAGTATTTATATTAAAAGCCAGGGGGGGGGCAGATGATTTTCGATTACTTATGAGAGAACCGATATACAAGGGGTGTCCCAAAATGCAACTTTTTCAAAAACACCTTGTTTCTGAAAAACGGAAAGAGCGATGACATTTCGGTTGGCGCCATCTTTCCTTTGACAAAAAAGTAGCCAACGTTCGCGGAAACCGCATCCTTCTAACTCCAATAGCAACAGCAACCGAGTTATCTCTTATGGACAACCAAAATGGGATACACTGTACATTCCACATTACTGTTTGAATAAAACTCATTGAGAACGTTTCGACAACTATTTCAACTAAACACTATAGATGTTTATCTTAAAGATATTTCACAAATTTCAAACCAGTAATTTGGACTTACTTAGTGGGATTTTTATTTTTAAAAATTTCATGGATTATCAGAAAACCATTGAAGGTAGTGAAAATTAAAATAAGGCTTGAAAATTAAAATAAGATTCGAAGAAATCCTTACCAATTCTGCATCAGTATTTATAGCCACTCGTTCCTGTAAAGTTTTCACCCAATCAGCAAAATCCTCACTACTTTCGGCCTGTATCAAAAACTCCGACCTGCAAGGCTTCACAGTGGACATACGCAGAACATTTTTTCTTTTGGTGTAGTCGCCAGCGACGCGAACCGCGCTGCTGCGCATATCGACTCCTGCTGCTAGAGATTGATCTAAGGATACATCTGAAGTGCCAAGAGGGCTCTGCAAAAAAATAAAAATGTCAAATAATTTTAGGATGTTTAGTAAATTGACAAAAACCTTCAAATTTCGCGCCCTTTTCCTAAATTCCAGCTTCCCGATTGACATTTTGCTTTTAGACTTCGACAAATAGCCATTTTGTGCACAATAACATAAAATCCCATAAGATCCCAAATCATGGATTCTCAGAACAAATTAAAATTGGTTGCATTTAAATTACAAAACGACAATTAACAGGACATTAATTAGTCTTGACACTATTAAACAACGAACGGTAGCGAAAACGCCGATATTTCACGACGAATTCTAGGGCAAGAAAATTAATTAAACAAGATTATGGTATGTACTAATTTGTATTTAATTGTAAATGGAAATAGATTTATTTATTGCCATTTTAAATGTTAAGGAAACTTGGAAGAATGTCAAAATTTTGAAAAAGTCCAGACGAAAAAAAATATATTGAGTTTTTCAGTAATGCAGAAATTGTTGTGATCGTAGAAAAAGTGAGAATGCATGAAGTTGTCTAGTTTCCACGTCCGTAACATATTTATGGTTTGTGTTTGTGTACAAATTGTCATTTAGACTAGAGGCACATGAAAACAATAAAATAAATTCTTACATAAACACCTGGAAGTAGTCGTGAAACAGGTAAGTGAGCAAAAAATCATTTTATACAGTTTTCTTTATACGACGGAAAGTAAAGTGGCTCCGCTTTCATCACCTGAATAATCATACCCACTTGCCAACAACAAACAATGCGATAATTATTTTCTATTTTAGATTGAATTTATGTAGATTACGTAAAGTGATAAATTATTTATTGCGAAATTTTTTGTTTTCTGCTAGAGCATTGGCAATAAATCTTATCCAAATTTTAGTTTATATTTTCTAAATCGCTGAGATCAAAATATTTTATTTTAATATTCAACAACTTAGTTTTCTATTATAATACCTATTTCATATCATATTTTTGCTGCAAGATTTTTTCTAAATACACTCTTTATAATAAAGGTTTTGGAGCTTTGGATTTCTAGTGTAAATTTTATTGTAGTTTGTGTTATAATAGCGCAAAGTGATCCTTTGACATTCGACAAGAAAGTTGTGACGCGCGAGTGGTATACCTACTTTGCCTTCAAATTGCACACCTGATTTCTCCGCATTTTTTTTCCACGAATAAATCCAGTTCAAACTGATGTTTAACTTGTTCACATATTTTTTCAACTTGTTCACATATTTTTTTAACCTGTTTTCACTAACTCCGATGCGATGATGATACATCACCAACGTCAATAATCAGAGGCTCTATTCGGGTTTCAATAATGACATCCATGATCCGCTTATATACTTGCTTCCACTTTTAGTACATGACCAACAGCATTTTTCCAAAGTTGTCGTTTGATTGAAAAGAGTTGCAAAATGTGGAATTTTCTTAATTGTATTTTTTCGACTCAATTCTCCTTTCATTTGTGTCCATATTAACTTAAAAGCAGGATTTAATTCACAGTAGTAGGGATGTAATCTTGATTATTGTGACTAGTTCCTTTAAGGAGTAAATCGTTACCATATCTACTTCGAAGCTTATATTTTTCTCAGTTAACCAACATTGTTTATCAACTTTTTTCATTTCTCCCAAGCGATGTAAAACATTTGCAAATTTTCTTATAGCAGTTTTTTTTGACTAAAAAACCAGCCGTTCTCAACAAATTCATCGTGTGAATCAATATGTAGGATGATAAGTCGTTGTTCTTTTCCTATAGGATTCTTCAGTCCTGTAGATAGGACATCTAAGAAATCCGCCGTAGTGACAGATTCCTTCAGATAATAAATCATAAATCTTTTTTCCGCCCTCCCTTCCTGTTCTGAAACGGCCTATAAAATTTTCGAACCAAAGATGAGAGCTGTGTCAATACGAGAGGAAAAAGAGCCAATATTAGATAAACCAAACAACGGAGCTACAAATTTCACCCTTTCGCTGGAGAAGAGGACATTTTACCATAACTGTAGATTACGGCTGAGATGTCGCTCTCCTTCTGATGACTCTCAGCCATCGTTTGAGAAGTTGCAACAATACGATTTTCAAATTAAACATCATTCTGGTAAACTGCATGGAAACGCATAGGAAATTTATCCAGGCGAACATGATGCCCAGTTAAAGGCAAGCACCAACTACCTCGAGATTGATCAGAGTGAAAAAGTTCCTGTTAGAAAACCCATACAGCTTCGTGGTAATCCATTAGAAGATAGAAGATAGTGACATTAAACTGGATAAAACAAAAATCCGATTGAGAGGAAGGCATTGTTACAAAACTGCATCGGCGCCAACGAGATTGCTTACGAAACAGAGCGGAAGTATTCCGAAATTTCATTGTACCGGGTGTCCAAATAAGAAAGGACGCCAACTATATCTCAGGAACTATTAGTTCTAGAGCTTCCAAGTAAAAAAAATTTTGATAAAATAGGCCATGAAAAATTGCTGGAAATAGTTTTCAAGTTTGAAAGTTGACCGCTAGGGGGTACACTCGAAAACATAATACTGTGATTATCTTGAAAAAATGCCCATTAAAGATGTCCTGAAAATATGATTATTGAAATCTTGATGAGATTACGAAAAAAATTTGTCAAGGATTTTTTGCCCTAACTCTTCAAATAAGAGGCGGGGCAAGGTTGAACCTTGTTAGGAACAAAAGTTATATAACTTTTTTGTTTTTCAACCGATTTCAATGATTCGGGTGTCATTTGGAAGAGTTTTTTTCTGTTTAATAAAATGCATAACAAAAATAGCAAAATTAAATTATTTTGTTGCCGCTAGGGGGCGCTGTGTCTAAAAGTTGATATTTTTCCATTTTTTCTCGGAAATTTCAAATATAATGATGCTTTTTTTATAATTTAGATAGAAAGCGGATAAAAAAAATAAGGAATCTGGTGAAAACCGCAAGTCTGAATCTTTATCCTAGCCCAAAATCGGGGCCAAAATAGAAATAAACAAACTTTTTAAGAAAAAACCTTCTTTCCTTCATTTTCGGGATAAAACAAAAAAAATCTTATTTTTTTAAGGCACTATAAAATTAGTAAAAAAACATGTATTTCTGACACTTTCTTTTACATCATGCTAGGAGAAGAGGACACAAATGCACTCAGTAGTCAGTGTGCACTGAACTTACCAATGGATTTCACTATTAGTGTGTATTATCCATGGTGCGAATGGTCCAAGGCGGCGCGAAAATCAGCGCCATTTTGTTTACCAGCCAGAAATGTTATTTATTGAAAAATTTTGCTTCGGCGCCATTACCACCAGATTGTTTACCTATAATTTAGGAGTGGGGGGGCAAGTAGTGTATGCCCTATGTCAAATTTGTCATGCCCTATCACAAATTTGACTCTAGCTACGGCCCTGAGTTACTTACATTCCAAGCTGCGAAAGCGTACTTTTAGATGCGAGGTGTATTCAAAAATGTGAAAAAAAATGAATACCTCCGAGCACCTACCAGGACTTTTGCAGCGTGTAATGAATGAATGAACTTTTCATCCTTCCCCCTCAAAAATCGTGAATAAGCATGCGAAAGTGAAACATGTTAGTAGCGAAAAGGAAAGTAACTATTAGAATGTTTCACTTTCGATTTCGCTCGCCTATGCAAGATAAAAAAATCTACTTTTGTAGGGGGAAGAATGAAAAGGGCTTTTGTAGCGTGTAACGTATTAAACTTTTCATTGTTCCCCTCAGGAATAGTATATTACATATCGAGGTGGAAAGTGTTTTATAACTATCGAGAGATTTTACAACGGTTAGACCGAGGCGCAGCCGAGGTTTAACTGAAATCTCGAGACAGTAATGAAAGTTTTAACCAAGGTATGTATACTATTTTATTTACAATCATTGGAAATTTGTAATTTTTATTTCAATGAAAACTAAAAAAATGCAATAAATTTCAAAAATTTCACTTACTTTCGGCCCGCGGGAGGAAAGTAAACTTTCAACCCGTGAGTGAAAAGTAAAAGTCAAAGGGACATTTTCAAACTTTTTAAAAGTCAGAAAAGTCAACATTACATGAATGATTGTAAATAAAATGTTTTTTTTTCTACTACCGTGCGTGAAGTACTCACTTTACGCACTATTCAGAAGATGTAAAATTACACTTCACGCACTAGTGCGTAAAGTAATTCACTTCACACACTAGTGCGTAAAGTAATGTCAATGACAGATGTTGACAACTGTCAATTTAGTATTTTTCTGGTAAATTACTTCACGCACTAGTGCGTAAAGTGAAAATACTTCACGCACTAGTGCATGAAGTATTTGTCTTAATCTATTTTCTAAACATATTTGATTGGTAGTAGAAAAAATTTTGTATGCAATACGTGCGTAAAGTTCCATTTTTCACTCATGTGATTGTCAAAATTCACATTCGTGAAAAGGGGTTCACTTTACATACTTGTTGCATAAATAACTATTTTATCTTGAATAGGCAAGCGAAAGTGAAAGTAATGACTAGCATGTTTGGCTTTCGCTTTCGCTTATCTATTCAAGATAAAAAAAATGTTTTCCTGATTGAAACAATGAAAAGTTTGATACATTACACAGGACAAGGATCGTGGAAGAATGAAAACTATTTCATTTCGGCAACGTTTCGACTTTAATCCAGTTTTTTTCAAGCCCTAAAATAAGACACAGAGAGTTGGCGCCGAATGGCATTACAAAAGTCAATCAAAATTAAACCAAAATCAACACTCACTTAACAATTTCTTTTTGTTGTCTTGATCCACTCAACATCAGTCCAGCCAGATCAGTTTAAAGAAAATATAAAGAGAAACCAAGAAGTTGTGTATTCAGAAAAGTCGCTCAATTATATTACCAGCGTTTGGTTCATGCAATTCAGCGGTTAGTTGTACATACTGGAAACTGGATTTTAAATTAAAATTAGACAAATTCAAAAATTAAATACAAAAAAAATAAATATGAAAAATATAAAAAAACAACAGTAAAAATTAAACATTTTGGGGGCTCG